AATGCATTGTTGTGTATTTCTTAAGAACAAGAACATTCTCTTCATGACTGTGGTATAATTATCAGAACCAGGAAATTTTCATTTTTAAATGTTGATAATTATATAATAACACTTAAAAACTAGTTTCTCATTAAGTCCATGATCAATTCCACATTCACACATTTCATTTAGTTGTCTTGTATGTTTTTTTCTGAAACTATTCTTTATCCTCTCTTTATCTTTCTTGGTCTTAACCTTTTGTTGAGGAGTATAGAACATTTGTAGATGACCTTCAACTTGAAGTTGTCTGTTGTTTTCTCATGGTTATATTCACATTATCATTGTTGACAGATGTACTTTAGCTGTGATCCTCTATCCTCTAAGCATGATATCAAGTGTATGTGATTTGGGTTTGTTTCTATGTTAGCTTTTGTCACTGTGATGAAAACATCTGACAAGAACAATTTAGACATATATAACAAATTAGAAAAAATAAAAGAGCAATTTAGAGGAGAAAAGTTTATTTAGGGCTCACAGTTTCAGAGATATCTGTTCATGGTTACTGGGCCCTGTTTTTTGCATCTGTGGCAGTGCAGTACATCATGGTGGGAATATGGGTCAGAATAGGTCTGTGTTCCTCATGGCAGCCAAGAAGTAAGGAGAGTGATAGAAAATGATCAGATTTTAGTATCTCCTTCTAGGTCATGACCTTAAGGACCTAACTTCCTTCAACTAGGCCCCACCTCCTTAAGGATCAACCACCACAGGCTAGGGACCAAGCCTTTAACACATGGGCCTTAGGGAGATATTCAGGATCCAAGCTATAACAGTAGTATATTTAAAAAGGTTAAAACAATTTTAAAAAGAAAGTAGTGATTTTAAGTAATACCAAATGTGTAGAAGTCAAAGTATTGTCAATAAAGTTAAAACTGCAATAGGGTATCTGAATAGATGATTAGACCCACTGAAGGGAGTATTAGACTACTAGAGCATAGACCTAAGAAAATTACCCAGTATGTAGCCCTAAGAAACAAAAAGGGATGGAAAATATGAATAAGAGCTTATAACATGGATAGCAGAATAAGAACGATAATAGGAATCCTGGAAGAATAGAATGTAAGTAAGGGATTTTTAAGCAGTGAATTACTCTCTTGAATTGTTTTGCATTGATCCAAGATTTAGGAAGTACATTGAGTCCTCAGAAGATGCAAAGTATACCTAACCAATCATTGTGAGACTGCAGCACCTCGGGTTTATAGGGAAGATAATGAAAGAAACCAGACAGTGAAGCCTGAATACCTATAATCTCAACAACCTTGATAGCAGAAGTATTAATAACCATGGTAAACGGAAGATACCAGAGAAAATAACTGGATCTACAATTTTATGCCCAAACAAAATTATCATTCAAAATTTGGTCCAGTTAGATGTATTTTTAGAAAAAGGCTGACAATTTGCCTTTTCTTAAAGAACTGATGGGGAAGAAACCTGATTTATTGGGAGAAAATGAGATGCAATGAAGAAGGAATGCTGAGCAAAGTAATTGATAAGCATTGAAACAATCTTAATAGACTGACCTATATAAAACATCCACAGTATTTATCACCCAATAGATGTACAGAAATAAGATGAAACAAATACACTATAAATAAATACCATGGAAGAGGTAAGATGAGTTTAAAAGATGGAGTAATGATAAAGTCTTTATTCAAGAGGAGAAGAGAGACATTAATGTTAGGCATTTGTGTGCAAGATGGTCATAGTAAAACTGTAACGCTGTCACCTGGGAAATAGAACTAGAATATATAATTCATTCTAGAAAGGCCATAGAAGAAAAAGAAAAGATAGGAAAAGAACAAAGCATAGAAAAAGCATAGAAGAAAAAGAAAAGAGGAAAAGAACAAAGCATAAAAAAGCAAGGTAAATAGAAGGTACAAAATAAAATGAAAAATAAAGTCTGAATTCAATAATTACAATAAATTAGGGGTGCTTGCCAGCATGTATTAAATCAGCAAAACAAAGAGATTCTTGTATGTAATTTATAAAATAATTATCTAAAACATAAGAGCAGGGTAAAGTAGAAAGTAAAACTGATTATGCATTCATTGTTGTTTTCTGACAGTGATTATTTAATATTTGGTCATCTGTAATTGCTGTTTTTGTTAAGCTATAGTAGTTATAAATTTTTCTATTGTGTTTAAAAATGAAAAATAACATGTATTATTAAATTCATTATGTAAGCAACAATAAGTGTTGGTGAAGATGTGGGGGAAAAGGTACACTCACATATTCTGGTGGGACTGTGAATTGGTGCAACCACTGTGGAAAGCAATATGGAGATTCCTTAGAAAACTGGGAATGGAACCACCATTTGATCCAGCTATCCCATTCTTCAGTCTAAATCCAAAGGACCTAAAATCAACATACTACAGTGATGCAGCCACATCAGTGTTTATAGCAGGTCAATTCACAATAGCTAAACTATGGAACCAACCTAGATACCCTTCAACAGATGAATGGATAAAAAAATGGAGTATTATAAAATGGAATATTACTCAGCCTTAAAAGAGAATAAAATTATGACATTTGCTGGTAAATGGATGAAGTTGGAAAATATCATGCTAAGTGAAATAAGCCAATGCCCAATAACCAAAGGCCAAATGTTTTCTCTGATATGTGGATGCTGATCCATAATGGGTGGGGAGAATGGAATAATGGAGGAACTTTGGATTGGGCAGAGAGGAGTGAGAGGAGGGAAAGAGCATGGAGGTGCGAAAGATGTTGGAATGAGATGGACATCATTATCCTAGGTACATGTATGATTGCATGTACTATGTGACTATATCATATACAACCGGAGAAATGACGAGTTGTGTTCCATTTGTGTACATTGTATTGAAATGCACTCTGCTTTCATGTATAACTAATTAGAATGAATGAAAATTTAAAAACAGTGTGTAGATTACATCCACTTAATGTGTAATATTTGTAGAAATACTACACTATCCTTCTGATATAATACTGAATCTGATATTATTGAGCCATAAACTGCTTGGTCCTGAAGGTACAAATGTGAATGTTACTAACACCCTGCTTTAAGGATAGACTTGTTCTAAACACAGGCATTGGCCAAATCTAGAATCTCTTACCAATTACATTTTGTCTTTTAGAAATGAAATAAATAATACTGATTCCCTGAAAGCTGTAGGATTTTAAATACTACAAGCAAAGTAAAAAATGAATAACACAGAATATATTAAATATTACTACACATTTTGTTAAAAACAAAAGTCTTCCTCCAAAATATTATTAAAGTTTCAAAATAATAGGACCTCATTGTATCAAGTTTTATTTTTCTGATACATTTGTGATTAAATGAGATTGCCTATATTGACTCTTTGGCTTGTGAAATCTGGGCTTTCTAAGCAAATAAATGAGTGATATATAAAGAAGATGCTTATGCAAAACAAAACTTTTCAACTGTTTTTGAAAATCTAATGTAAACATCATATACATATTATTTTAAGCAGAGAACCCAGAGTACATTATACTAATTACCAGTCATTTAATTTCATTCCATCAATTAGAACTAGATTTCTATTAGGTAACAAACAATTAATCTAAGGTTCTTTAGATATTGTTACTTTTAAAATGTTTAACTTTTTTTAAAAAAAATTAGAAGTTTTAAAGTTTGTTCTTTTCAATGTTATATTTTATGTTTTACTAATTCTGGGAGTGTGTTGATTATCATTTCTGTGATTTTCTTTGCTTGCAAGAGGTATAGAATTTCATAGGTATATTTCAGCATGTTAGAGTATTTTTTTTAGCTTAGTTCATCTACTCTTAACACTCAAAGTCATGGATCTAAGACTCCTCTCTGCCCAATCCAAAGTTTCTCCATTATTCCCTTCTCCCCCACCCATTATGGATCAGCATCCACATATCAGGCTTATTTCACTTAGCATGATATTTTGTTGATTGTGAGTTTGCTAAGCTTTTTTCTTTTTGTTAAGTCAGAAGTAACTATGTTCAATCTCTTTATACACTGGAATGGAAATTAGAAGTTGCTCTGTTTCTTAATTATAGAGGGTGATTAATCTCTTTAGCCTTTTATTTTTCATCTTTGAACAGTTTTGGTGGCTATTTGAACACAGATGGCATTCTGATAAATGTATTTTCATCTCTTTTTGAAATTATCTTTTCACTCATTTATTTATTTTTATTTTTCTGTAGTCTTATGCTATCTGGAAGGCATTGAAAGAATCCTTTATGCTTTCTTTCTAAGCCATGATTCAGCAGTTAGAAAAGGTTTTTAAGCCATGCATATAGTCTATGCCTATAATCCCAGTGACTTGGAAAACTGAGGCAGGAGGATTGCAAGTTCAGAGCCAGCCTTATTATGTTGGGTTCTCATATAATAAAGAATAACCTCTCTATTTTAGGGTGTTTAAACTTTATTGTATGTGCAGGCCCATTTACCATGTAACATATTCACAAATTCCAGGAACTGGTACATGGATAGCTTTGAGGAGTTCATGTTTCTTTCTCCTTTAAATGTAATATTAACTGGTATCTGACTTTGCTGGATCAGTTTTCTTTTCCATTTATAATACCTCTGATATTTTCCTCTTTATGTAGTAAATACAAAAGAGATGTTAAGTTTCAGACTTCCTAAGAAATTATATTAGTATAATTCCTATGTAGACTGTATAAGGGAAACAGATTCTAGAAACATTGATAGAATATGCTTTTAGAGTATTCCTTTACAAAAAGAGATAGTATTGTATGCTTTTGTAATTTTATAATAACTGATCCTAATCCTTAGTACTGTTTCATTGTTATTAATAAAATCATAGGAAATAAACCATTATATGCAACCAGTCTCTTAATATGGTAGCAAAACATTCTGAAATGAAGAGATATTCATTTAGAGCAATAACTTTCAAATATTTACCAGAATATACACCAATTTTGATAATGGATGACATTGCATCTTAATATGTTATTTCTTTCCTACATAGATTATCACGAAGTATGTATATGAACTCCTGGAGAAGGACTGTAATTTGAAAAAAATCTCTATTCCAGTAAGTTCAATTTTTAAAAAGTATTAATATCTAATAACATGTTTGCTTCTAAATAAACTTGTTTTCAGTTTGGAAATGTTTTATGTTAATTGTGTTTAAATGTAAAGCTTCTATTGCATTGATACTAATAATTTTAAATTCCTGTCAGTATTTTTCATCTTATTATGTGCAGTAATTCTTTGAAAGTCAAACTCTTCAATGTAAAGGAAAAAAATACTGATTTACTTGTTTTGGGGAAATAGTGACACAATTAAAAGAATCATCCTTTCTTTTAACCTGTTCTGTTTCACTGGAATAATTGTTTGTTTGAAATACACCTGTACACTTTTTGTTGCATTAGACATTCATCAACTCTTTAAATATTTATTGATTTAAAAAATATAGTATGTTGTTTCTTTTATATGTTCCCAAATTCATCCCTGATGCTTCCTTTGTAATAATAACTGTGCCAACCCTTGGTTGATTTGGAAACTTTCCTTCCTCCAGAAGTACATAAAAACTAAGGTTTTAGTTCCTTTATGGGAATGAGAAAGCCATGTTTTTTGGATTCAAATTTCTTTATTTTTGACTTTAAGATCTACTGTCTTACTCTATAAAAACTGTATATTGAGCGGTGGTATGCATGCCTGTAATCCCAGGGGCTTGGGAGGCTAAGACAGGAGGATTTCGATTTTCAGCCAGCTTCAGGAATGGCGGTGTACTAAGCAACTCAGTGAAATCCTATCTCTAAATAAAATAGGGCTGGAGATGTGGCTCAGTGGTAGAGTGCCCCTGAGTTCAATTCCTGGTTCCATAAAAAAAAAAAAGGAAAAATAAAATGAAAGTACTTTGCATAAACCTATGATTTGACAGTAAAGATTATGATTATATTTTATGCTTGCTCCACACATAACATAAATGGACACAAAATATTGTCATTTACAATATCCCATACTGTGTAGAATGTGGATAATTATCTTAATAACTTCACTACATATTTTTGTTCAGTTTACTGCACACATCATATCTAAGTGAAACTTCACAATTTGTAGTGTTCATGATTATCCCCAAATCAATTGTTAACTGCTAAAAATTGTGTAGTGTTGGGGCTGGGGATGTGGCTCAAGTGGTAGTGCGCTCACCTGGCATGCGTGCGGCCCGGGTTTGAACCTCAGCACCACATACAAATAAAGATGTTGTGTCCGCCGAGAACTAAAAAAAGTAAATATTAAAATTCATTCTCTCTCTCTCTCTCTCTCTCTCTCTCTCTCTCTCTCTCTCTCAAAAAAAAAAAAAAAAAAACTTGTGTAGTGTAGGGATTGGGGTTATGGCTCAGCGGTAAAATGCTCGCCTTGCACGTGCAAGGCCCTGGGTTCAGCACCACATAAAAATAAATGAACAAAATAGAGGTATTGTGTCCAACTACAACTAAAAAAATAAATATTTTTTAAAATTGTGTAGCGCAGGGATAAGAAAGACAGTGGAATGAGGCGGACATCATTACCCTAAGTACATGTATGAAGAAACAAATGATGTGACTCTACTTTGTGTACCACAGACATGAAAAAAATGTGCTTTATATGTGTACTATGAACTGAAATGCGTTCTGCTGTCATGTGTAACAAATTAGAATAAATCAATTAATTAATTTTTAAAAATTGTGTAGGGCAGTTTCGTGGACCCAATGGTTGACAGACAAACCTATTTGAAGTTGGTTTGTCAATAAAATGAAGTGGTACACTTTGTGTCTATTACTTAATGAAAACTTAGCTTAATTTATCACCAATATTTGAAGATAAATGCCCCTGGAATAGCTATTTCCAAGGTTAATGGAGAAAATTTATTTCATTTATTTGGATAATTCACTGTGTAAACTTAGCATTATTTTATACAGAATAAGTTTATATATACTATCTGCAGAGTCTTGAGTTTCTGTTAACTCAAGATGACTATATTTCTCTTACCACTTAATCATCATTACATTCTTAATCTTCATTGTTGTCTTTTCTCCTATTCTAATATTCTCATATTTTCAAAGTCAGCTTTTCTGAGATGTTCAAGTAAAACTTTCTCTTTCTCTCTCTCTTTTTTACCAGAAGTAAACAATCACACATAAGAAGGGTAGGGACGAAGAGCTTGAGAAGAATATTTACAGTAAACAGGGATGAGAGGTGGGAGGGAAAGGGAGTGAGAAGGGAAATTGCATGGAAATGGAAGGCGATCCTCAGGGTTATACAAAATGTCATATAAGAGGTA